CACACACACACACACATATATATATATATATATATATATATAGGCTTCCTGCCAGTCATGTACAAAATGACAACTTTACACCTAAAACTAGAAAATTATGGCAGGCAGTTGAGACAAGGTTCCAGGAAAATGTTGCACGCAATCAGGCAAAACATTCATTGGTATCGAACTTCAGGTGATCCCTGGTGGTCACCTGCCCAGCTGACACATGGTAGGAGAAGCCTACGGACGAAAGATAGGCACAGTTGAAAAGGCTTTAACGAGTGAGCTGGCAAGAAATTCCAATTAGGAAAACCAAGGGGTTGTGAAGTGGGCATTAGCTGCCTCTCTTTTGCTCTACTTTCAACTTTCCGATCGGTTTCCTACCGTTTCATCCAAACGGGTAGTCAAAGGCTAGGTCAAGACCTGGAATTACGCCGCACACATCGCAGGATAACAATTACAGTGTTCCTTGACTTCAAAGGAGCCTCCCATTTGGTCAACCACTAAGCTCTAGTGCATTTGCTATTTTGTGAAGAAATGCCACAAAAGCATGTAAATCTATTATGATCACCGTAATTGTATACTTCTGGTGAAGTAAAGGTGTACGATAGGCGAAGTAAATCGTTCAAAACTAGTGGCGTTGTTCGTCAAGGGTGTTCCATTTCACCATTCTTATTCAATTTCGCCGTTGACGAAATACTGAAGAACGCAATAAGTGGACTGCTGGAGAAATTCGTGGGATTTAGAGTATGCTTTCGATATTATTCGTCTGTTCCAATGTATGGAGGATGTGCAGGGCGTTCTAAACAAACTTTCAAGTTCTGCAACTCCATTTGTTATGTGCTTTTCATCTTGGAAGTGTTGTTGCAAGACTTGGTGTCACTGGATACGTCATGGTCAAAAATTTATGGTGACTTGTTTCTCCCAGTTAAATAGAGGCATGACAATTGACGGTTACGTAGTCGAGGAAGTAACTGCCTGCACTTCCAAGGCATGAGCAGCGTGCGTTCGAGTGAAACACCTTTTGTGCCAACGTGATGTTTAGTTGAAAAGCTGTGCATACTCTGCTATCATGCGGTCGGTTCTGCTTTAACGGTTGCGAGACCCAAATTTGCTCGTGGAATACATTTATCCTCTAGAAGTCTTCGACTAGTAATATTTGGCGCGGGTCAGATGGTGTGAGGTAGGCCGTTCAGTATTTGGTAATGATTCGGTAGGGAGTTTCCTTCCTATCACATCGAATAAGGATTAGAAGAATTCTGTGGTTAGGACACGTATTAAGCATGCGTAGTCCACCGCATCGCATCTAGTTTGCGTTCCTGCTACAAGTTGCAAGAAATACGTTGGATGTTAACAGATGACGTGGGAAGGAGGTATGAAAAAATGCACAGAGCGATCAAGTAGAGCAGGTGTCTCTAGTGTTCTATGTTCGGGTTCGAAAGACCACAACTGGCTGGTCAGAGACAATGAAGCATATGTGAACTAACCGACAGTAGTGGCGGTCTTGTTGTCACTTCTTCTGAGGTCAAAATGCTTGAAAATATATGTATGCACAGTTAGGTGGTGTACTCTGTGTGTTTGTGGAACACGTTACGAATAAAGTGTCTGCACGTATACAGAAGGCTTGACTGGCATTTGCCAACTAGAAACATCTGCGGCACGATCGCGACATTCTGCTGTTTATGAACGGTCGAATGTATGCTGCAGCAGTCGGACCAGTGTTCGTATACGGTGTAAAAACTTGACCATTACGGGTACAGGATAAAAATCGACTATCGGTGTTCGAACGCCGCTGTCGACGCAGAGTTGTACGAGTCTGGTGGGATAGCCGAACCAGCAATGCCGAGGTTATAGGCAGACTTGAAGGTAATCGCGATCGACCAGAGGAACAAGTAGTCGATCTCAGTACTCATTGGTTGACAAAACATTATCTGCCATCACGACGAGACTGCACCTTGACGTGGTATGATCGTTTGCGCGCCTCTATGACCTGTGAGTCAGACAGGATGGCTCCTCATAGCCGCAGATCCTATCATGCCTGAGGGGTAAATCGGTAGAGGCCAGAAGAAGCTCAGTCTCATAAGTCCAGCTGCTTGGGCAGCTCTTGGCTTCCTTTAACTATGCACTATAGCTTCTGGAATGGTCAATCCAGCAAATAAACACGTGGATGGGCAGTTTACCAGTCACCATCTCCCAGCTAAATGAACACATGAGCGGAGCATCTGGAGCTTCCTCCTGACGGTGAGAGAAGTCTTCGCCTTTCATTGGACAGCTACCGTCCGCCCAAGCTGGGCAGACCCCAAGCCAATAAAGTGCTGTTCCGTTTGTCTCACGGGTGCATGAGTATAAGGACAGATTCCGAAAAGCAAACCACCATTCAACGCTTAATCGAACAACACATTAAACCGAAACGCAAAGGCTTTTCGTGAAAGGTCTCAACGAGCTCCCACACAGGTGCTTCGTTCACGCTCCCGCGTTGGATCTACGCCCCCACTTTCGAGTCGAACGCTCGGGTCAAGTTTAAGGCGAAGTACGTCGCTCCCTAGAGTATTAGGTACTCATTGGAAAACCGTGCTTCTAATCCGCACAGGTTTTCCTCTCTAAAATCTCGGAAGATACCTCCTATTTGCACTACAGTGCTGCTCGCCTTATCTAGAAAGGACTTATTAGGCTTGGTTCGCCAATTGCCTCATCGAAACAGTTACTTGGTACTTCACTTGAATTCAGCTTCGTAACTCGTTTATCGATCTATAAGTTAAGAACGAATCATTCGCTATCTGACATGGCGCACTGATTCAGGTACTCGATGTTTGCATACCGTGTTGACATGGGTTATATATTTTCGCAAGCATATCTCCCCAACGTGTTAAAAATGAAGTCAACGAACCAATAACTTATTTTGATCACATCGTAGTGTGATGACAAACAGAAGAAACGAACTTCGTTAATCAAAAGGACAAGGTGGCACCTTAAGTGGATATATAGGGCATTTGAATGATACACGACATTATAACGGAATGTGCACGGCATTGATTGAAGCAACAGCCCAGCCGGATACTACTTACAGTGGGAGGATCCACGGGAACAAGAGGCACTACTTTTTCAAATTATTGGTCTTTATTCATCCAACTTAATTTTAATTCTTAATCTGTTTTCTTTCGCCATATCTCACGCTACTGTATGATGCAAATAGGAAAGGGTAAACTCCAAAAGAACTTTCAGTACAGGAACTTAAGTAATGAAACTTAGAAGTCGTCAAAACATCGTAGTTCGAAAAGAAAAGAAAAATGCATCACCCAATTCTGTATTCTCTTTTAGGCAAAAGGTTTATCGTGACTAATTCCGATTACTTGCAACACGAACGTGTGTTCGTTCTACTCCCGAGACAGAATTGAACGTGAGAAAGCAAAATATTAGGAATACCAGACAACACTAGCGTCATTCTGACACAAGAACATCGCGAACACATAAGCGATTCGAGTGAATAAAACGTCCGCGAAGGCGAGCTGGTGGAGAAGAGGATACTCTATATATAAGTACCAACCTGACTGGCAATAACCTTGTTCACTCCTTTGCCACTGGATTGCTGGGACGATGTGTTGATACGAGTATCACCGTTACCGCTGGCACCCCGTGCGCTTACCGCTGCATTTGATTTGACCGGTGTTTGCTTGACCTGTCAGGCGATGGGACGCACCGGAACGCAATGTTAAAATGACTTTCGCACAACACAACCAACTGTGGTTGTTTAAGGACGTATGTGCATGGGCGCATATAGATATGTCTACAACAGCGCCTAGCAACAAAATTTGGGCCACTCATTAAAAAAAACGCTAAAACGAGTAAGAATCACTTTTCAAGCGATAGTCATTCATGAAGGAGGATACACAACTTCCAATCGAAAAAATACAAACAGACACAACAAGCTGACAGTAAAATATATGCAGTAAAGACCGCACAAGCTTACTTCCAGATTAAAGTATACGGATTACTGATTCGAAAAAAATCGAAAAGGAACGGATGTTGATAGTATTTAGCAAAAACACACGATCGAAAGAAGTGTAGAACTGTGCGCATAGATTTCGATAACTACCAAAGTGATTGAGTTCATCTCATAATACACAACACACCAGTAAATGTAGCTCGAACCCAGGCTTTGGTGAAAGGTGGGTCACGGACCGCAGCTAGAAAACAGCGGAACGATTTACTGCTAAGTCAAAGCAACTAAAACCGAAGATGACAGGCGACAAGAGTAACTGCAGTTTCACGAAGTCCAAATAGTCTCAAACTCACTTTGTTCACCCATTGGTTAGCGAGTTGTTTCGCGGAAGGACTAGATTTTTGGCCTGGATCTCGATCAACAGCCCCAAGTTGGTCAGTTTTCTTCATACTATCTGGCAAAGTCGATCCCGCTGGCCAACGCCAATTTGCATTAGGTGTGTTTGTGTTCATAGTAGACGGTATGGAATTTGATCCCTCCGGCACGCCAGTAGTAGCATGGACGTCTCGAGTTGAGCCGGGTATGAGCCCATTTTGGCACTTGCCGGATGAAAGGTTGGCTGTGGGTCGCTGTGTAGCTGCCTTTGACTGACCTTTCGCCTGTGATCTAGGAGTAGAAAAGGCGGCAACAGTAGAGCCGCTGGTGCGAACTGTACAATCACGAGTCCGATCAGCATCACAATTCATCTGAGCATCTGAAATGCCTTTAGTGACGGCACGTCTAAAATGAGCAAGTATGCATGAAGGATGGAAGATAGCAATATAAACATATAGTTTATTGGAGATATTACTAATAATAACAGTTAACTCCGATCCCCTTACAAAAAGCTATCAAACTACACGGTTGTTATAAAGGTATAGAAAGTGTGGTTAAAATCATCACTAACTTATCAGTGTTGTGTTTCGTCTACACGAATGACACGAGCGACTCTTGCTTAACCCCAAACGATAACGCGGAGAAAGAGGACAGCTGGAGACAACAGTCAGATGGGTTTTGATACGCAAATGTATAGAACGAATCACGTATACGAGAACGGCACAGTGACACACCGATCCGATTGCGTTCATGACATATCGATTATTCGATCATACAAACATCGGCTGACTCGTTGTGACCATCCAATCGGGCTCAGTCGATCTGGAGCAGTGTAAGGGTGCATGTGGGCCGAATCAGAGGTGTGCGCGATTGGAATGGGTTGCTTGACACACTGGTGCAATGACATTGTTCACTGTCTTTCCGTGATATCCCTAGAAAATCCTAGTAGAAGACTGCAGGGTATAGCGTGATCCGAAATAAACAGAAAGAACGAAAAGTAGAAAAAACATCACTACTTGGAACCACCAGTCATAGGGACCACTGATAACAGATATGGTCGCCGTTGGACTACAACCTTACTTGTTTTGTATGAGTCATCAGATGGCTTTAATATTAAGAACCAAAAAACGATAAGGCGCTCCTTGACAGGACATGCAATTACCTTTTTTTATTACACACTCACGTGTGATGAACAGCAGACGGAGCGAACCCCATAGTCACGAGAACCTGCTGTTTAGTGGTGGAAACCGGCAACCTAAGCCCCAGGACTTGGAGTGGCGAACCATATAAGGTCCTCATAGATTAGGCGTAGTATTGAACCGGACGACAGCAGAGCTGCCTACCATCAAGCTAAGGTTAGAAGCTTAGAAAAATACGTCTCATCGATCTTCGCTGGATGACCTATGATCAGCCTTGAAGTACGACGCCGTGCTGCGTCAAAACCAACTAAATCACCATCATCACCACATATTTTTGCGACCGGAATGGGATTTACGCTTTTGAATGCCTCGGTGCGCGAGATTATTTGACATGCGACGGATCATGAGGCAGCATCAACGAGAATAAGGAACGTCACCATAACAAGCGAAAAGGCTAGGCAAGTTGACTATCCACGTCTATGCCTAGGTCAATTGCCCCGGTAACTATACATGTCCATCGTCGAAAACAGTCTTCGAGCATTTTGGTCAAATAACCATTTTTTGATAAACTGATACTTGCTGAATTCAACTGGATAAAACGCTTCATTTTTGTTAGTCGACGGGTTGCTACATAAAATATACGACCAGGACAAACTCATTTCATCAACCTATACACTGATTCTAAACTGAGCGAAAGGAAGTGTCGTGAAGAAATAAACTAAAAATATATCAAGTGTTGTATAAAAGCAAAACGACCTTTCCTTACCATCATGAGAGATAGGTACTTTCTACTCACCCGTCCGCAGCTCGTGGAGAAACAACACTGCCAGCATTATTCGTGCCGAATCCGGCAGACCAAACTGACTGGATTTCCGAACGCGAATCATCACCCGTAGCCCCCACACCAACCGAATCCTGTACAATATGCCCGCGATTGCGTGAGAGTTCGTCGGATGTATTCTTCTCTACCCGCCGGTTTACCGAGTCCACAACACTGGAATCTGGGGTGTGTTCAGCAGTAGTAGCATCGCGTTTGGACAAGGAAGCCCATGACTGTTCCGAGAGCTAGGAGTGAAAAAATCACATTTTGAGTGCTTCGTAGATGACAGTTCGTCAATCCTTTTCACCAGATATGCACAACAAGAAGACAGTTTACCATTAATGGAAGGGTTATAGGGGCTTACAGCAGGAGAGAGAACCACTCAAACAGATGAACTACAGAATGACAAGCTTATAGCATTCACCGCTAAACGAGAACTGTAAAAATCTCCGAAAATAAACACGGGAGAATACCATGTTGGAGCAGTTGTACATTTGTATTTCATAAAGATTAGTTTTCCGTCGTGTTTTTGTTTTCTCTTCTTATGTTTCGCCACATTCGAAGGTGAGAAAGGCCTATATTCTGGGTTCTCAGTTTTCGATATCACTCAAAAAGAATGACTGGGTAGATATTTGTTGGAAAGTGACACTCGAACCAGTTCGGTTTTCTCTGGGTGGATGCGTTTCTTGTCCCGGTACAGGAGAAGTGTATGTAGTGCAAACGATGGGCTTATTTAGCAGTAAATCAAATTATTGTATATCACGATACCTACTACAACAATTGTAGCAGATTGGTCGTTGTCCCGGCGGAAAACTACTTCCTCAGAGATCCAGCTAATATGCGCTACTGTCTTTGCTCAGAAGCTCACCAACTGTAGACATGACTAGTAACGAACAGCTCTGCTGTAAGTGAGCCAGTAGTATCCGTTGGATTTGCAGTTGGAACCCTTTGATGATTGCAATGGAAACCACTAAACGGTTGCCACAATAAAGATAACGGTGTATATCGAAAATGGATTTAGTGAAAAATTAATGGAGAAAATAGCCCGAACGGCAATGAATAGATGACAAAACTTGATGAACGGTTTGAGATGAGATCAACTTAGTCACAAAGAATTACGATCTGATTCTGGAACTTGAAGCAAGGAGACGTACAAGGCTCCCACAGAATCGCATGATGGTAATGGACGACTAGTGATATCTTCATACTGTGATATGTTCGCAGAATGAGGAAACTAAGAGTTAGTTTATTTTTTTACTATCAAGCTACAATCCCGTAGTTTGATGTAGGTTATTGTTTCCTGCTGACCTATTCAATGGGCGGAATATTACTAGGATGATATTAGTGAGGTACGGATGCGCTAAGAGATTGGGTGCATGATCAAGCGCCACAGTTAGTGCCGTGCGATCACATCAACAGCCGTGGCCATCAACTGCGGTGGTCTATCAACGCTTGTTAGTTTTTTCTCGTTTTTCATCACATTTTAGTGAACCGCTCAGATACAAGGAACGACTGCTCGGCTATGAGTCGGAACTTATATATGAGACTTGAAGTGGTGAAGTACCACGGATTCAAACAAGACAAGCGCGGCAATGAACTTAGGAACAGTGAACTCAATTATCCCAAAAGAAGAGTGGCTGTATTTAAATCCCGAGGTTTACATTTCGGTTCACACCATTTGCATCAGCTTGCGCTGCGCTTGCAGTATACTTGCTTTCCTCGAAAAGTATCACTCGCTGGACAATGTGTGCGTAACAAAGACCGCGGTCGTTGGAATGAGAAAGAAACTCACCGTCATTGAACTGATGGATCAATCACACAATTGCAATATATATATATATATATATATATATATATACCAGACGCTTCCTGTAGGAAGTGTTTTATCGATCACATTTAATAACACGACATCAAATTAGGCCTTGAAACGGTATTAAAAAGTCACTTTGGACTTTGCAGGTGCGATGCAAAACAAAATGAGTTGCAGCACCCGGTATTTAATTTAGGAATATTAACCATGCTATGCATTCCTGAGTTCAGTTGATACCATTCACGTCAACGCAGATTTATATATTCAATTCATTATCACACGAATAATTCGGTGAGAAATGAGACCAATCGAAATCAACTGGGTACCGCCAACCCTCAATATGAGAAGCAGTGGTAAGCCCCAAGTGAGGATCAGCTTCAGTCATCCAAATACATTATGAGCATTTACCACAAGTTTCAGTTAATTTATACAACAGGTTTGAATGATGCTTGAGAATACTTGAATAAAGTATCTCGAGAAACTTACAGAGGTGGCCTGAGACATAACCAGTTGAGCCAAGGCTAAAGCCTGAGCTGGCTGCATCGGAGTTTGATCGGGACTGTGCGCACCAACCATGGCTGCCAATTGTGCAGCCAATTGAGCAGTCTCTGCGAGCTGTTGCATTGGAGAGACGGATTGATGTCCCGAGACATGTGGCTGTACATTCAAATACTGAGCTAATGCAGCTAAGAAGCCGGGGGAAATGGCAGAGGCTGTAGAAGCGAAATCGGAACCTGTGGTATTTCCCATATTTTGACCTGTGTAAGGTAGTGATAAGGAAGCCAATGCAGGATTCATGGAGATCAAAGATGCTAGTGTCATCAGAGTAGAGTTCGGTGTGACTGGTTGTAAATGACTGGGGCCGGAGTTCACTTGTGACTCGTTCTCAGTGGCACTCAAGCCACTACCCAAGTCCATTCCGGCCAAGGAATGCGTGAGCACGGACATCTGACCAGCTGAGTTACGGTTGTGTAGGACGGGAAGGCTACTATTGACGCACATACCTCCTGAGGTTTTCAAATGACTGATGTTGCGGGTCTCCTCCACTGATGAATTTGGTACCATCTGAACCGCTCCGATTTGGCCCTTTGCAAAAGAAAATCATAAACAAACGCAATGTAGATGAAGTGGTTTTTTAAATAACGACATCTCTATAAGTGAAAATTTTGTAAAATACGACTGTTGTACAGCAAAAAAGATTGACATGTATTACGATTGTCACACATTTATTGTGCATAGTTTAGTGCAGTTGGATCTCCACGCCGACACCAGATATTCGATGAGAGTTAGTGAAGACAAATTGAAAATTTCTGACACAGATTGACGCATGAACAACCATTTAACCGGAAAGTGAAACCGTTATTCTAACTTCAGTAATACTTTAGTACCGTACCCCATCTAAAAAGGTCGAGTGTCTTCAAGACTGTGCAACCGTAGACGAGAAGCGTTTCCATCACATAATGAATAACGGGGCAATCACTTTAGTTAGACTCTATCTCAATGAGATAGAAACAAATAAAAAGCAAGCGGCTTTTCTTTGTCACCAAAGAGATAACAAAAAAGCCAAATATTGCTTTCGAATTGAATAAAATGGATAAAGAAACATGGGTATTTCTTCACTCGTTTTGCGACCTCAAAAGTCGACGCGATCTGTGTTCGTCAATGAAATGCGTTACTCCTGACATATAAATCGAACATAAAAAATAGACGAACAGGAAGCACGCAATCAATTGACTTTCGAACATCCCTGTCTTTACAGTATTGATTGAATTTGGTAGCATTATGGAATGTGGAACGTAAATTCTT